GAATGTTCTGAAACACGAAAAAAAAACAAACATTGAATGACAATCTAAAAGAAAACATTGTTGACTATTTTTTTTTTTTTTGAAAAAAAAAGTCCATAAATGTTTTTCTGCTAATGTTTTGAGAACATTATTAAAGACCAGATATGAATAATCACCCTGCATCACACTGGTTCCAGGATTTTTCCATTGGCTTTATCACGATAATCTTCACAGATGAACACGTTTATGAATTTTGAAACAGGGCAGAAGTAAAAGGCTATAAATGAACTACACCACGCTCGCATGACCTCAACATCACCATCGAGTCTTTATTTAGAAACATTTTCCCTGAAAGTTTGATTTAGAATAGTTTACAAGAGCATCAATATAAACACTACGAGGCTGTAAAAGTGAGTAGATGAGTTGACCTGTTTGGTCTGATGACGTTTAATGTCCCGACAGCTTCTGTAGGAGATAGCTATTATCAACCACTTTTTACAAGACAAGTAAAAAATACACAAGGGTGTATTACTGATGGATTTCAAAATATCTTGAGCTCGTGCTTATACCTTATTTCCTGCATTTAACCAAAAACCCAAACTGATTGACTTGTCAGTAATCAACATCTTCTGCTCTCTCCAGACCTGAAACACCGTCATCATGTCCAGCAAGCGAGCGAAGGGAAAGACCACTAAGAAGAGGCCACAGAGAGCCACTTCAAATGTGTTTGCCATGTTTGACCAGTCACAGATCCAGGAGTTCAAGGAGGCCTTCAACATGATCGACCAGAACCGAGACGGATTCATCGATAAAGAGGATCTCCATGACATGCTGGCCTCTTTGGGTGAGTCTGACGGAGAGGATCTGACGTAATAATAGGCTTCTGGATCAAATACTGATCTCTGCTTCGGTGTGTGTGTTACCTGTGCTCAGGTAAGAACCCATCTGAAGATTACCTGGAGGGCATGATGAGCGAAGCTCCAGGGCCCATCAACTTCACCATGTTCCTCACTATGTTTGGAGAACGGCTCAACGGAACCGACCCGGAGGACGTCATCAGGAACGCTTTCGCCTGCTTCGACGAGGAAGGATCCGGTAAAACAAAAACTGCCTCAATATCAAGAATTTGACCAGACCTGCAAAAATGGAAAATAAATAAATAAATGTAATAATAGAAAAATTCATAAAGGAATATATGACTTGATAAAACAAATACAATTAATTTATTTTTGTATTACTTTTCCCCCTTAAATTATTATTTTCTATATTTATTTTTTAACAATTTATTTTTCAGCTTTATTTGTTTGTTCATTTTATTATTTATTTTTCCAAAATGTATTTATTTCCATAATTATTAATACATTCATTTATTTTTAACGGAGGGGAGATAGAGGGGAGACAAATAGGAAAATTTGATATGATACATAAATATAAATATACATACATGGGAATAAAAAAAATACATAAATATAAAAATGTAAAAAGTTACTATAATACATTTTAAAATAAATAATAAATATAAGAAAAATAATAAAATAAAATGAAAGGGAATAGAAACAGAAATTCAGGATTAATAACAAAAAAACCCTTTAATTACATATTCTAGATGCTTACATGCATGACTTAAGATACATCTGTACTAGATATAAATGAAAGGTTATACACTAGAATTTTAGAACTTTATTCAGCAAATAAAAGATCTCAAAATGCAGATATTGTGCCTCAATGTTCACATCTCAGACCTGCTTGATCTGCATCTTAAACAAATCAGCTGCTCTAGCTGTATGTTTGATTCTCGTCTATACAGGTTTCATTCATGAAGACCACCTGCGAGAGCTGCTGACCACCATGGGAGACCGTTTCACAGATGAAGATGTGGACGAGCTCTTCAGAGAGGCTCCCATCGACAAAAAGGGCAACTTTAACTACGGCGAATTCACCCGGATTCTCAAACACGGGGCCAGAGACAAAGACGACATGTAGACGATCAGAGAGCACACATTACAAACACATCAGCATCTAGAAGTCAAGAAAAACACAGCACTTCATGTAATAAATATTCAGTGATCTATAAAAGAAGCATTTTTTCTCCAAATGCATTTGATATGACCAGATTACATTGCTAACAATCTGTGTATTTTGTGTTTTTTTATGGGGGACTACAGTGTGTTTTTTAGTAGCTTAAAGCAATGCACTCTTCAGCTGCGGCTGGACGTCTTGAGCTTTCTGAATCTGTGCAACTCAGAAATGAAACGATTACATTGGAGATGCCATGTGCATTTATAAGGAGCATCTCACTGAGAGATATTATCAGATATCAAAAACATGATGGGTATTTTTAAACATTTTAAAGTCATTATAGAAAGTCATTCATGGAAGTAAAACTACAGCATGACAAATTCATAAAAAAGCTCATCTTTATTATTTAAGCTGCACGTTCTCCTCTTCGACGCAGACTTTGGGATAAGTTGAGTTTTCGGTGGTACTGCTACTTGTATTTTCCCATCAAACCCTGTGAAGATTTGGATTATAAAATCATGTGGCAGCTCTCAGACATGAAGTCATCCATCATATGAACATGAAACATTTTATACTGAAATAAAGACAGTCTCAAGTGTTTGTGCATGCAGAAATCATCACAAATATCCTAATGTGTGAAAATCTGTAAAATAAAGCTATTTCCATTACTCCACCACATTAATACAAATATATGAAAAACAAAGCTTTATTTCTCTGTAATGCTTGTACAAAAAGACATCAAATAAAATCTTAAGGCAGATATTGCACAGACTAATCCAAAGGTTTTCTAAGGAAGCAGGTAAGGCACAAATGCCAGCTTCACTGTCCTCAGTTATACATACACACAATCTTAAAAAAAAAAAAAAATCCATTGGTTGTACAGGAGAAAGCTACGCATATTTGATGTATATACACATTAAAAGCAGGTCTATGCCAGACAAAAACCTGAATGATATATTTACATGTTTCACACTGTCATCCAGAAGACCCTTTTTGCAATAAGAACATCAATAATACAGTTCCAGGAATATTAATATTGGTCTTTCTGAAGAGGTGAAAAAATAGAGTACATTATATGAAATATATAGATTTACTTCCAGTACCTATCACTGTTTCAGTAACTAACCCAACGATCACAGTGGTTTTGAAATGTTAGTTAATTAGATCTGTGATAGAGTTTGTGATGCTACAGTCGGTTTCTCAATCAGCTCAAACATTACTTTAAAAAAAAAAAATAATAAAAAATGCACCTTTTAGAATTGAATTAAAAACTCCCTTTGTGATGTCAGAGAAGGAAATAAAATGACTCAAACCCAAGAAGGAAAAGTTCATCGAAAACTACAATAAACAAACCTGAGACACACTGAAAAACAAGAAACATGTACAGTACTACAGACGTGACCTCAATGAGAAATTACGCAGCATGATAAAAACTATCTATAAACTACTATAAAGAATTATGGCACGTTCGTGAGTGAATAAACTGAAATGACGTGAACCGCACAATAAGCATATTAAAAGGTTAAGATCATTACTATAAAGACTAATCTGTTCTCAGTTTCATGGAAACTACAAGCATAAAATCATAATGCATCTAGTGTCAAAAAAAAAAGATTTCAAGCGATTGCTCATGAAATCAACTGGAAATAATTCTGTTTCTAAATAATATCTGTTAGTTCTCTAGATACATTCACAGATGCTGAGCGAGAAAGAAGCACTTCAGTTCATCTCAGAGAGGTACAAACAGACTTTAAACTCATCTTGGAAATGCATGAAACACGTTTAGCATCAAAAATAAATCCACTCACTAACACATACGCATGATGTCTCCCTCTACACTGAGATATGTTAAACAGTTATTAATGCTGATCATCTACTTCACCTAACAATCCTGTAAGAACAATAATCATTTCAGCAAAAATAAAGCTGCAGCCCTATGATCACGTTACATGAGAAGTGAAGAAAATCAATGCCGGCTGTCTTTGAGATGACCTCCCGCTCTCCCTCCCGCATCTCAGACAGACACGAGACGTGAGGGATGATCTCTGCAGTACGATCAATTTAAAGCGCACATCACGGCACACGCGAGAGCGCTCGGATCTTATTCTGAGACTGGATAGACGATCCTGACATAACGACGAGGAGGTGAAATTGGACTATAAAGTGCAGGAAATATGACCAATAAAAAAAATCACACTACTGGGAAAGACTTTCAAAGTTGAGATTGTAGAAGTAGAGGCTTCATCAGCAGTGGCTTTTCAGGCAAAATCGGAGCATAGTATTAAATCGAAGAGAGCATATTTGGTTGCTAAATGCTGACATTTAAATGCTGCATGCTGGTCTTTGCATTCACAGATCACAACAAATAAGTAAAGCATGCTATACGACAGACAGACAGACAGACGGCTAACCCTAGTGGATATACTGAGGAAAACGGGCATATGTGGAGCTTTATCAAAAGCAATGCAAGGCCACTTCAACTACAAACGTTCAGATTAAAATCTCTTGGCTGTAAACCTGAGTTGCACAGGTTTGCTGGTGTTTGCACATGGTAATATTTCCACCTGAAAGGACCTCCACTTGGTCTCGAAGATCCCGGAGTCTGAAATGTTGGATTTTTTTAGAAGAGCATTTTATGTATGCCCGTGAACTTCACATAGTTAAAAAAAAAAAAAAAAAAAAAAAGAAAATGGGTTTTGT